CATCAACACAACATACCAACACACCAACACACCAAAACAACACACCAACGCACCACACCAACACATCACACTAACACACTAACACACCAACACAACACACCAACACAACACACCAACACAACATACCAACACACCAACACATCAACACAACACACTAACACACCAACACACCAACACAACACACTAACACACCAACACATCAACACAACATACCAACACACCAACACACCAAAACAACACACCAACGCACCACACCAACACATCAACACTAACACACCAACACAACACAACATACAAACACACCAACACAACATACCAACACACCAACACATCAACACAACACACTAACACACCAACACATCAACACAACATACTAACACACCAACACATCAACACAACATACCAACACACCAACACACCAAAACAACACACCAACGCACCACACCAACACATCAACACTAACACACTAACACACCAACACAACACACCAACACAACACACCAACACAACATACCAACACACCAACACAACACACTAACACAACACACTAACACCAAAACAACACACCAACACAACACACCAACACACTAACACACTAACACAACACACCAACACACTAACACATCCACACCAACACACCAACACAACACACCAACACAACACACCAACACACCAACACACTAACACAACACACCAACACACTAACACACCAACACACCAAAACAACACACCAACACACTAACAAATCCACACCAACACAACACACTAACACACCAACACAACACACTAACACACCAACACAACACACTAACACACCAACACAACACACTAACAAATCAACACACCAACACACTAACACACCAACACAACACACCAACACAACACACTAACACACCAACACAACACACTAACACACCAACACAACACACCAACACACCAACACAAGACACTAACACATCAACACATCAACACACCAACACAACAACCCAACACACTAACACACTAACACATCAGCACAACACACTAACACATCCACACCAACACAGCAACACAACACACCAACACAACACACCAACACACCAACACACTAACACAACACACCAACACACTAACACACCAACACACCAAAACAACACACCAACACACTAACAAATCCACACCAACACAACACACTAACACACCAACACAACACACTAACACACCAACACAACACACTAACAAATCAACACACCAACACACTAACACACCAACACAACACACTAACAAATCAACACACCAACACAACACACTAACACACCAACACAACACACCAACACAACACACTAACACATCCACACAACACACCAACACACCAACACAAGACACTAACACATCAACACATCAACACACCAACACAACAACCCAACACACTAACACACTAACACATCAACACAACACACCAACACAACACACTAACACATCAACACAACACACCAAAACACAAACACAACACACCAACACACTAACACACCAACACAACACACTAACACATCAACACACCAACACAACACACTAACACACTAACACATCCACACCAACACAACACACCAACACACTAACACATCCACACCAACACACTAACACATCAACACAACACACTAACAGATCAACACACCAACACAACACACTAACACATCCACACCAACACAACACACCAACACACTAACACACCAACACAACACACTAACGCACCAACACACCAACAGACCAACACAACACACTAACACATCCACACACTACCACACCAACACAACACACTAACACACCAACACAACACACTAACACATCCACACACTAACACACCAACACAACACACCAACACACCAACACAACACACTAACACATAAACACACCAACACAACACACTAACACACTAACACATCCACACCAACGCACCAACACAACACACTAACACACCAACACAACACACTAACACATCAACACACCAACACACCAACACAACACACTAACACACCAACACACCAACATACAAACACACTAACACACCAACACAACACACCAGCACACCAACACAACACACTAACAAACCAACACACCAACACACCAACACAACACACCAACACATCAACACAACACACTAATACACTAACACACTAACACACCAAAACAACACACCAACACAACACACTAACAAATCAACACACCAACACACTAACACACCAACACACTAACACTAACAAATCAACAAACCAACACACCAACACACTAACACAACACACCAACACAACACACTAACAAATCAACACACAAACACACTAACAGAACACACCAACACACTAACACACCAACACAACACACTAACACACTAACACACTAACACAACACACTAACAAACCAACACACCAACACAACACACCAACACACTAACACACCAACACATCAACACAACACACCAACACACCAACACACCAACACAACACACTAACACATCAACACACCA